CCCCGCCTTCCATGATGAAGTTCCGGGAGGAGGGGTCCCTTATCACAGAGGCAGTGAGTCCAGCCGCACTGCTGCCCTTCCCAGATGTGTAGACCCCAATGGGAGAGCACTTCTCCACAAACTTCAGAAGCTGGGACTTGGCTGTCCCCGGGTCTCCCAGCATCAGCAGGTTGATGTCCCCTCTTCGAGTGAGTCCATCAGGGAGTCTCTTCCGGGAGCCCCCAAAGAGCAGGCAGGCAATGGCCTTCTTCATGTCCGCACCCCCAAAGATGGAAGGTGCAATGCTCTTGGAGATGACATCGTAGACGTTGGGGAGGGCAGCCAGACGCCGGAACTCCTCCTCTTCCTGTGGACTCACAGACCCAGCAAAGCTGCGACCAGAGCCATCTGTATCCACCTGGATGCCCAGGACACGAAGGTAGGAGCTCCGGATGCCCACGCCCACCTTGTCACGGCCTCTGCTGGAGTTCAGGCCTAACTTCTTGATGGAGTAAATGCCCATGATGGTGACCCTGTTCCCAGGGACAACCTTGTCACACAGGTACCTGTCGCAGTAGAGCTGCATGTGGCGGGGCATCTCGCCGTGTGGCACGGCGTCCGGCAGCTCCTGCAGCTTCAGGGTCTGGAAGTCTACACACTTGCACTTGTTGGGCATGATGAAGTATGGGTCTAGTGGACAGCGAGGGCGGCCAGCCTGGTCCATGTTGCACTTTCTAGGCAGAGAGTAGCCCTCCAGGCCAGGGCGCATGGCAATGTCAGTAAGGGTGTTTCGGCAGCTGCGGCACTGGATGGACATACGTGTGGCCTTGGCCCGGACCGCGGAGGCTGCAATGATGATGCCAGGAATCTTCACTAGGTGTGACATCATGTCCGACTTCAGACTCCGGATGCTGGAGGGGCTGGCGTCTGACTTGAGCATAACCTGGATGTCCTGAAGCACCTCCTCCCCGGCAGGCCGGGGCCTGGTCACCTCATCAGCCACCTCCTTGGCTGCTTCCTCCAGCTGCATGGGAGGGCACAGGCTATCAGTGCCAGGCAGGGCATGTGTGGGGCACTGGGGTGGGCCCCACTCACCAGCTCTAGGTGCTCTGCAGGCTGCTTGTACAAGGAGTCGGCCAGGTCCTCATCGAAGCTAGCCAGGTCCTCCATCTCCACCTCAATCCAGTACTCCCCCAGATTGTAATGGCGCTTGAGCTCATCTCGGTAGGTGAAGGAGCAGCCCGCGCCCGCCCGGAACTGCCGCAGGAACTCCCAGAAGCGCCGCTGCAGCTGCGCTCTGCGCGCCCGCCCGTCGTCGCCGCCCGGCTCGGCGCCGAAGCTGTCGCTGTAGAAGACGCCGGGGTCGTCGAAGCCCGACATGATGCGGGGCAACACCTGCGCTGAGCCGCTTGCTCCGGGCCTCCGCGCCGCGCAGCGCCGCCTGTGTTATACATTTAATGAAGAAAATAATCATCAAAATTTTAAAAGAATTTTAAAATGACCTGAGTGTTATCCTAATTTTTGTCTAACATATTTTGGGAGAAAAAGTGATTTTAAAAAGATGTTCTTAAAAAAACCTACAGTGTACCTTAGTCTTTTCTTCTTTACAATTCTGAAAGTATGAATTTTCATTGATTTTGTTTTTTTTAAAAAAATCCATCTTTTTTCATCACTTCATTTTATTTCTGCCCAGTAAAGTACTGCTGCAGTATTGCATATGTTGTTCAGAGAGAAGTAGAAATATTAATTGCCAGTGCTTCAGGCCAATTTGGGTGTCTCTGAAAAATGTCAGTGATAGGCAGCTTGTTACTGCTTTGATGATGGTGACTCAGCAGAATGGAGAGGGCTTAAATAGAAACAACCCAAGAATATGATCCAAGGTGCTTGGGTGTAATTAGCCAAGTTAGTAGAGTAGTGCGTCAATTAGCTTGATAACACGAAGAAGATATCTCAGAAGAATACATCATCTTAAAATGACTAACAGAATAAAGTGAGCTTAAAACATACCCTTTTCATCTTTCACTATGATTTTTTTGAAGTAGTAAAAAAGCCTCATAGTCTCTGCAGTATCATAGGAGTTCTGGGTCTGTAGCAGCTGACCAGGGGCAATTTCAATTCAATTATGGACTACTGGACTATACTGGAATATTTTGCTGAGTTCACACACCTTCAATATTTAAATGACAATGGAATACCCTTTTCTGGCAAAACTAAAAAAAGGGGGATACAAATGAATGACCATTTGGTATCTGTATATTCAAAATAGTTAGAATAGATATACAGCTGCATTTTCTTAATTCGGTGAATAGAGAGATTTGTTCTAATAGTGTCTGTGGACAGGATATCAGGTCTGCATCTTGTACAATGAGTAACCACTAAGACAACAATATGCAATGCATTAATTCTTGAAACTGCTAGTAATCGGTTTTGAAACTGTCTCATTGCTATTTGTTTCTCAATAAAATTATTTTTAAAAAATTCCTGCATGACTTTAACATTTTCTCTCTCTTTCCAAATTATACATATTGAAGTTATTTGTGTATTTATGAGATTGTAATCTCTTCATAGGCAACTGAGTAGCACCTAGCTCCTCACAGGCGTGCAGCCCAAGTGTGCTCAAGTAAGTGGCGAAGTGCGGCACAATGGGCCACACTCACACCTGCTACTTTGGGGTAAGTATTACTGGGAGTTAAAGGTAATAGACAAGAAATAGACATAAAGGCAAAACTCATTTGCCTAAAAGCACACACACACTTGCTCAGGTCTTCTTCTTCATCTCTTTGCAAGGAAGGACAGATGTTAATCACTTCAAATATCTCTATGTGGTCATCAGCCAAAAGATAAGGCCAGAGGAGTCTGCATATCAAACCTTACTAACTGGCTATTTTGCATTTGTATCTCTCATCTTTTTATCTTCCCACTCTTTGCTGTCCTGGAAACACCAAGCCATTTTCCTTGTCTCATTACCTCTTTAAAATTTATGGTTCTTTTGTTAAGCTGCCATAGAAGCCAAAGTTCTTTGAGTTATGCATCACTAAGTGCTCCCTTGGGTGTGCACAAATGCTTGTGTTAAGAAAACTGTTTGCTCTTCCAGTCATCTCTCCTTTGTCCTTCTAATTTGTAGAGCCCCAACTGGAGAACCTAAGAAGGTCAAAGAAGAAATGACCGTTCCTTATTGTAATAGCACTTTCACTAATTCTAATGCCATTTGTAGACACAGATAATGACGGTGACACCACTGCGTGTTCTCTGTGCATTGCCAGATGTATTAATGGTTCTCTTACTCTCCTCATCAGCTTTATGAGTAAAACAAATTGAATCTGTGGCTGGAAAACTAAATAGTTATGTGACTTTTATTAAGTCCTAAGTCTTGGGTTTGAGTTCTACTTCTAGTATCCTAGTTCATCTGTCCCCACATAATTAAAATAGCCTTTCATAACAACCAAAACAAAGGAAAGCTATTACAGAAGTTGTATATTATACTTTTATGTTAATGCACCAAATAAGGTCACACATGGAAAGAACCTTTAGCATAGATTGAAAAACGAGGACTTTTTACTTTTATAGCTGTGTCCCACTTACAGTCACTTTTCATCTAAAAAAAAGAAGCAATTTCATGAAGTGCTAATTTTAATCAACTTGCATCTGCATAAGGACCTCCAGCCCTCCTCTGCGTATTGCATTACATAATTCTCCCCTTTCAGGCTCCACAGTGCTGCAAAGATTTATACCTAGACATGTAGTTCCATATACTAGTATACACATTAGGCTGCTCTTTCCAATTTCAAACAGTTTCTCTCTTTTATTTTGACCATTAGCTGTTGGAAAGGGCTTAACTTAGTGTAGCCATATATGTTCAATTTAAATTCAAGTCAGAGTAAATTTTAGCCTCTTCGTTTATGAGAAAACTGTTTTTTTCTATTGATTTACTCCAAATAGACAGTGGATCTCCAAAATTTCTAAATGGAGGTAAAGAGATCAAACATTTTCTTTCTTTTCATAATTGTGATACGCTGTAGTGGCTGTTGGGTAGTCTTCACCTCTCTACACAATGTTAGTGTTTGATGTGGTTGCTCTTGTTAAAGGAGAGTGGTCTTTCCTGCCCTAAAACCACTTTACTGTCTGAAAAATGAAGCAGTTTCTTTCCCTCTGTCAGGAATAGCTTTTAAATATACCTTTTAGTTTCAATGAGAAAGGGCCAGGTACATATATTCTCAGTGGGTATAAGGCAAGACAGCTTTTTTAGAAGCATGAATTTCTCCCCCGCAGACTTTGGGCCTCCATCTTGATCTTAGATCCAAGGTTGCTGCTCGCTGTGTCAGGAGAGTATTCTGAACCGTATGTAGGTGTGTTCGAGAATTACTGCACTTGGTGTTCACTGACAGCTCACTAGTGAGGAGGAGCAATTGTACAACTCCTTGCATTCCATATGTCTTATTTCTCCTCCCTGAAACACAATACCTGACACCACCTAAACTTAGAGGGAGAAAGCTTTATGCAGGCTTCCAGTTTGTAGAGGTTTTAGCACAAGGGCAGACAGCTTCAAGGCAGGGCAGAGGAGAAGCAACTCATGGCATGGCCTTGGGAATCAGAAGAGAGTGAGAAATCAGAAGAGACAAAATCCTCCAGGGACTCACCTTTTCTGAGCAGATTTCACCTGTAAACAGCAAGTCAGCTATAAGCCCATTGGTGAAGTCACCCACTGATGATTATTACAGCCCCGTGATCCAGTCACCTCTGCAAAGCCTCATCTAGGATAAATCTCGCTTTGTGGGGACAGTCAGACACAAGCTAGAACACTGCATGGACTTGCTGTCTTCTTGCTTTTCAGGCTCCAGGGGACTTGATGAGGGGCTGCTGTGACTTCTTTCTTTGCTACTTTTTTTTTTTTTTGTGGAACCAGGGATTGAACTCAGGCCCTTGCGCTTGCCAGGGAAGTGCTTATTCCACTGAGCCATCTCCCTGGCCCCCTTCTTTGTTACTTTTTAAGCACATGTTTGTCATACCATTTCATTATGATACCATTTCAGTGAACTACAAAGAAGCTAAGTCTCAGAGAGAATTGCATTTGAAAGTCATCCTGAATCTTCCCTTATCTGAGTCATAGAATAGAGGTCTCCTCAAGACTTAGTCCTTCATCTAGTCTCCTGAAAGTGTCTCTATTCTTCACCCTCCCTCTCTTTTAGGTTCTCCTTTTATGTACATAGAATTACAATGCCTTTCTGTCACACATTGCAACAATATCTCCTCATCTAGAAATATATTCCAAGACTTCCCGTTAATGTTTGAAATGTTGGGTAGCACTGAATCATATATATATAT